AGGCTCCCTACTGGGCAGGGAGCCCTATGTGGGGCTCAGTCCCAAGACCCTGGGATTCTAACCTGAGCCGAAGGCCGAACTTAACTGACTGAGCCACCCAGCTGCCCAAGAATGTAGTTCTTTAGATGGATATATTTTCATTCAATAAGATTAGAGTTCTGTTACCAAGGAAGCAAGGGAGAGTGGAGATTGTTTAGGTTTCTAGCAGTGTCTGTCGTGTTTTACCAGATTCTAATCATCCGGTGTCAGTTTCTTTATTTTTTGAAATCAGAGACTATTGGCTCCTCACAAAGTTATTTTGTGAAGATGGAATAATCTAACACACAAATACTGTGAGGAGAGTGCCATGCATACTCTCAGTAAGCTCTCAGTAAAGCTGACACATTGTTGTAATTAGCATTATTTTCATTTTTTTGGTATCTTTTGATCTTTGTTGTATTTCTAGTGTCTAGAATGCTTTCTGGCACACACACGGGATAAATCAATGTATTCTGAATGAATAAATGAACTTCCATTATGATTGGTTAAGATTTGGGGGTTGTAGGCAACAGAAATTGATTCTGGCCCACTTAACTCTTAATTGAAAGAATGTTATTTGCTTCTAGAAGTGACAAGATAGCTGGATAGTCGGGCTCAGGCATCGACAGGCATCCAATTATTTCTGTAATCATTTAGGTACAACTATTTTCATCCCGTCCTTGAATAACTCCATCCAACATTTAAAGCCCCATGAGACACTCTCATGTGCCAAATGGTACTGAATCATCTCTCTCTGTTTGGATAGGAAAGAATAAGACACCTTGTTTTATAGTCTCATCAAAACTGCATGTAACCGGGGGAAGCAAATAATTAAGATGAAATCAATGAGAAGGATGAAATCAGCTGGAAGACACTGGGTGGAAAACAGAAATGTCCATCACATGTTCCCATTCCTTTTGGTTTGCGTTATTTCCACAAAGTCATGGTTGTGATTTAAGAGCATTCCCTGGGAGGAAAAAGAGACCTAGCAATTTGGCCTCTGTTAACACATCAGTATCTTCATTTTTTCCAATTAAAAGTGAACTGTCATTTTGTAAAACTGAGTGCAGGGACTCTGAACGGATGAGACCAACAAGAATCTTTTTTAAAGATAAAGATGACACGATGTGACAGTGAGGTCCTGGGGTTGATATTGAAGACCAAAAAACAGATGCTGAAGAAAGGTTATGCACTAATGCCAAATATAGGTACTTGGCTTGAGATAATGACATCTGCATAAATAAGCTTTCCAGTCATACAATTTCATAAACTTAAGTCATTGTTGCTAAATATTTCATTTTCTATAATGATCACAATGCCAGTCTGGTTTTAGCAATTGATTACTCTCTCTAATAAAAAGTTGAGACCAGATGGTTTTTCATTTTGTTTGCCTTTATAGATGTAGCAGTGAATGTAGGTCCATGACAACCCAGAGATTTATTTTTAAGCATGATTCATAGTAGTTTTTCTACTATCATTATGCAAGTCTGTCAGACATTTGGAATTGCTTTAATTTGGTAAATTTTATTGGGATTTTTACAAATTGTAAAATTAAAATTATTCTCTTCATTTTATTGCTAGAAAAAAATCCTCAATTTATATGACTCCCAGAATTCATTTGCCTGATTTCAAATATATGCGCTACTACTGAAGGCCATTCCAAACCGTTGCTGGAAATCTACTATGCTAGCCGATTGTATGTGCAGGGAGCTATAGAGCTTGCTTAGCTCCTTTGATGATTTGGTCTAGATTTTTACATAGTAATTGTTTAGATATTACAAGATTAATAAGTTCAGATTGATAAAAATGACACCCTTGTTTGCTCTGAAAATGTGGAACTTATAAAATTGAACAGCAAAGAAAAATCTACTTTTATGAAATAGGCTTTATAAAATTTTCTTCTTTTAGTATTTTAGTCATTTATTTCTGTGATCTGACATTAGGAAATATATATAAAAATGCCATTAAAGAGTGCATGAACCATTAAAAATTGAGTATTACACAAACTAAAATAACTTTGGAATGCATTATTTAGAAATTAAAAATTCTTTTTATTTTTTATTTAAATTCAATTAACTAATGTATAGTGTATTATTAGTTTCCAAAGTAGAGTTCAGTGATTCATCAGTCTTGTATAATACCCAGTGCTTATTACATCACATGCCCTCCTTAATGTCCATCACCCAGTTAGCCCATCTCCCCACCCCCACCCCCACTCCAGCAACCCTTGGTTTGTTTCCTATGATTAAGAGTCTCTTATGGTTTATTACCCTCTCTGATTTTGTCTTCTTTTATTTTTCCCTCCCTTCCCCTATGATCCTCTGTTTTATTTCTTAAATTTCACATATGAGTAAGATCATATAGTAATTGTCTTTCTCTGATTGACTTATTTCACTTAGTATAATACCCTCTAGTTCCATCCACATCATTGCAAATGGCAAGATTTCATTTTTTTTGATGGCTGAGTATATTCCATTTTATATATATATATATATATATATATATATATATATATACACATACATACATGCCACCTCTTCTTTATCCATTCATCTGTTGATGGACATCAGGGCTCTTTCCACAGTTTGGCAATTATGGACATTGCTACTATAAATATTGGGGTGCAGGTGCCCCTTCAGATCACTACATTTGTATCTTTGGGGTCAATACCTACTAGTGCAATTGCTGGGTCATAGTAGCTCTATTTTCAACTTTTTGGGGAACCTCTATACTATTGTCCAGAGTGGCTGCACCAGCTTGCATTCCCACCAACAGTGTAGGAGGGTTCCCCTTTCTCCACATCTTTGCCAACATCTGTCGTTTCCTGACTTGTTAATTTTAGCCATTCTGACTGGTGTGAGGTGGTATCTGATTGTGGTTTTGATTTGTATTTCCCTGATGCCGAGTGATGTTAAGCATTTTTTTATATGTCTATTGGGTGTTTGTATGTCTTGTCTGGAGAAATGTCTTTCCTGTGTTCTGCCCGTTTCTTGATTGGATTATTTGTTTTTTGGGTGTTGAGTTTGATAAGATCTTTATAGATTTTGGATACTAGCCCTTTATCTGATATGTCATTTGCAAATATCTTCTCCCATTCTGTCGGTTGTCTTTTGGTTTTGTCTTTGGTTTTGTCGACTGTTTCCTTTGCTGTGCAAAAGCTTTTTATCCTGATGGAAGTTTCAATAGTTCATTTTTGCCCTTGCTTCCCTTGTCTTTGGCGATGTGTCTAGGAAGAAGTTGCTCTGGCTGAGGTCAAAGAGGTAGCTACCTGTGTTCTCTAGGATGCTGATGGATTCTTGTCTCACATTTAGGTCTTTCATCCGTTTTGGGTCTATTTTTGCGGATGGTGTAAGGAAATGGTCCAGTTTCATTCTTCTGCACATGGCTGTCCAATTTTCCCAACACCATTTGTTGAAGAGACTGTCTTTTTTCCATTGGATATTCTTTCCTGCTTTGTCAAAGATTAGTCGACCATAGAGTTGAAGGTCCATTTCTGGGCTCTGTATTCTTTCCCACTGATCTATGTGTCTGTTTTTGTGCCAGTACCACACATCTTGATGATTACAGCTTTGTAATATAGCTTGAGGTCTGGAATTATGATACCACCAACTTTGGTTTTCAATTTCAGTGTTCCTTTGGCTATTTGGGGTCTCTTCTTGTTCCACACAAATTTTAGGATTATTTGTTCCAGCTCCAGGGAAAACACTGATGCTATTTTAATAGGGATTGCATTGAATGTATAGATTACTCTAGGTAGCACAGACATTTTAACAATATTTGTTCTGAAATGGAAGGAAAACTTCCAAACTCTTTCCATAAGGCCAGCATTACCTTGATCCCAAAATCAGCAAAAAGGAGAATTACAGACCCATATCCCTGGTGAACATGGGTGCAAATTTTCACCAAGATACTAGCCAATGGGATCCAACAGTACATTAAAAGGATTATTCAGCCTGACCAAGTGGGATTTATTCCTGGCTGCAAGGGTGGTTCAACATCCGCAAATCAATCAATGTGATAGAACACATTAATAAAAGGAGAGAGAAGAACCATATGATCCTTTCAATAGGATGAGAAAAAGCATTTGACAAAGTATAGTGTCCTTTCTTGATTAAAACTCTTCACAGTGTAGGGATAGAGGGAACATACCTCAATATTTTAAAAGCCATATATGAAAAGCAAATATCATTCTCAGTGGGGAAAAACTGAGAGCTTTTCCCCTAAGGCCAGGAACATGACAGGGATGTCCACTAACACCACTACTGTTCAACATAGTACTAGAAGTCCTAGCCCCAGCAATCAGACAACAAAAAGAAATGAAAAGCATCTGAATTGACAAAGAAGATGTCAAACTCTCACTCTTCGCAGATGACATGATACTCTATGTGGAAAACCCAAAAGACTCCACACAAAACTTGCTAGAACTCAAACAGGAATTCAGCAAAGTGGCAGGATATAAAATCAATGCACAGAAATCAGCTGCATTTCTATACACTAACAATGAGAGAGAAGAAAGAGAAATTAAGGCATCAATCCCATATCTAATTGCAGCAAAAATCATAAAATACCTAGGAATAAACCTAACCAAAGAGGCAAAGGATCTGTACTCAGAAAATTATAGAACACTCATGAAAGCAATTGAGGAAGACACAAATGGAAAAATGTTCCATGCTCATGGATTGGAAGAACTAATATTGTTAGAAATTAAAAATTCTTAGCATTGTATAGTTTGTCAACTTTTTCTTTGTGCAATAATGCTGATCTTTTTATTTTTATGTTTCTTTTTCTGCAGGTCTTTAATAGATTATTGAAACTACATACTCGCATCCACAGTGGCTTCATGTTGACAGATTTCATATTTTGAAAGCTTGAGATATTTTATAATGAAACATGCCATGTGGAAATCTTGAAGCATAGAATTCTGCCAAACACCTGAATAAAGAATTCCTCACCTGGTATGTAAGAGACTTCTCACTACCACCATGACAAACCAGGAGAAGTGGGCTCACCTTAGTCCCTCAGAATTTTCCCAACTTCAGAAATATGCTGAGTGTAAGTATTCATATTGATAATATGACTTGATTTGGCATTTGTGTTAAACAAGATACTGATTATTAATAAGAACAGATTATACATCCTGTTCAGCATCGAAATCGATGTAGGTATGTCTTTTGTGTTTGCAAGTAAGTCTACTTGAGACTACCTTTTGGCATGAGAAAAAGGAAAAGGCAAAAAGCTAAATTAAATCAAGTATAAAATCTAGAAAAAAAGGAACTAGGGTGTTAGATGCAAAACTAAAACTGAAACATTCCAGGTGTAACAGAAGTAAAGCAAAAGATAAGACAATTTGGGTGAAAGGAAATTGGTGATACTGCAACTGAGGAGAAGGACAAACAGAAGTAAGGGGGAAAAGTGAGAGTTTGTTATTGTTGTTTCTTATATTTTCTGTTTGTTAGCATAACATAGGAAAAGGACTGGTAGTTGGGAGGCATAGATACATTGTGGAGTTGGAATTAGAGGTTGTTAGAGAGAAGGTATCAGGACTTTAAGCCAACTTTTTCAAATGTGTATATTTATACAAAAGATAGGCCATGGCAATTCAATTTATAGTAGGCCATTTTTAAATATTAAGTTTCTTTACACATAAACAGTAAGATTTTATCTATAAAGAATTTTATTTTTAACATGGATTTTCAGGAATATATCTGTTTCATGAAATGAGTTTCAACTATAAATATGAATAACACCTGGGTCAAGGTGTTAAAGAGAGAAAAGGGGGTACCTAAAAAGTCTGAGGCACCAAAAGGTTGGGAAGATGATGAGTAGAGAAAAAAATAACATGTAGAGAACGTAGAAGATTGAAGAGAGTGGGGGAATAACATGGTGCCTGGAAGAAGAGAATGAAAGAAGCTTTAGAAAGAGGACAACAACTGATGGCATGCAAGAATGGAAGACGAAAAATTGAAGCAGCTGGGATACTTATGCAGAGAGGAGGTGTGGCATACAGGAGTAAAGGAATGGATGGAGTAAGACTATGAAGGAGAGGCAGAGAGAAGAAGAATTTGAAATAATAAGTAATAGATACGTTGATGATAGTGAATAATAACATACATTTATGGGGTACAGATAAGTCAGGAACATTAATAAACAAGTGTTTATGTATATTATCTGAAAAGGCCAACTTCACAGGTTTTCTAGAATCTTCCTCACTTGTGGGCTGAAGTGTTCTGGGTGAGGTTGTGAGGGTGCTGCCGGGTGTTTGCAATAAAGATGCAAAGCCATAAGAACATGTGTATGTTCTTAGTCAATAACAAAAATTACAATAGCTCTCGCTGGCGGGGGGCAGAAATTTCTGCCATCAAAATGTGCTCCTCATATTCAAAAACTGTTCCGAGCAGCTGAGAGCACAATTCACCCTCTTGTCCCATTTCGTTCAAAATGGCTGAATTCTTATCTGCATTTTTATACTTGATAATTTTGGAAATTGACTAAAAAATGATTTACCGATGTTTTCCAATTTCTATATGCTCTCTGCTGTTGTGTTATATCCAATAATTAAGTAAATAATTCTTAGCATTTTCCTTAGGGAGAATATTCTGCTTGGCACTGAAGGAACCACAGATAGGAACAGATATGTTCAAGGATGTTTAACGAAGGCTAGAAACAAATGGATAAATAAAGGTCTCTGTATCTAGGCAGAATATTTTAAGTGCCACAAAGTTTGGGGTTCTGTAGGGCCTTAGTATGCAGTTGGAGATGGGGAAAGGGAAATCTTCATGGAAGAAGTAAGGTTTCAAGTGAATCTTAAAAAGTAGGTTTAAGAGATCGTGGAAGTGCTTCTTTCCAAACACCAAGTGTTAGCGGCCTTACACTTTATCCGGGGCATTGGCGGCCATGACAACATTTCTGCACGAAAATTTTTGGATGCTGTGGAGCAGACTGAAGACAACATGCTTTTCTATACTATATTTCAGTTTTTTGAACAGCGAAACCAGCGTTTGCGAGGGAACCCTAATGTCACACCAGAACACTGTGAAGAACATGTTGCTTTTTTCAAACAGGTTTTTGGAGACCAAGCTCTAATGAAGCCTACAACATTCTGAAATCACTTGCTAGTTTTTTTATATATATATATAAAAATGTGTACGAAGTTGATTTATTGCATTAATAAACCTCTTTAAACTACAAAAAAAAGGTAGGTTTAAGGTAAATGGAGAAGAAAATAATATAGATAAAAAGGAAAATTCAGCATATATTTGAGGGAGAGGAGTCATATTTAGCTATACCACAAATTAAGGGTGTAAGGACAGTTAAGGATGTAAAAATGAGATTAAATTAAAATATACAGTGCTAAACTTGAGTAAAGCAGTGAGGAGTAATTGTAGGATTTTTTTTTTTTTTTTTTAAGATTTTATTTATTTATTTGACAGAAACACAGCGAGAGAGGGAACACAAGCAGGGGGAGTGGGAGAGGGAGAAGCAGGCTTCCCGCGGAGCAGGGAGCCCGATGCGGGGCTCGATGCAGGGCTCGATGCCGGGCTGGATCCCAGGACCCTGGGATCATGACCTGAGCCAAAGGCAGAAACTTAACGACTGAGCCACCCAGGCACCCCAATTGTAGGATTTTAAGGGCAGAACAACAAGAACAACGAGTTTAACTTGGCAAATTCAAGGATGGTAGAAGGTAATGGAAAGAGACTAGCATCATGCCAGTGGGCTACTGGAATAGACTAAATAATGTGGATAATGAAAGATGACCAGAAAAGTGTAGATTCAGATATTATAGCATTAAAACTAACAGAGAGCTTGGGAAATAATAAAACAGAGAGAGAGAAAAAGAGAAATCGAAAATTTAGTTCCAAAGATTTGACTTGAAGAATTGGAGAATTTGGTGACATAATCCCCCAAGTAAAGAAAACATGGAGTTTGGTTTAGTTTATGATGAATTTAGCTGGATAATTAAAATATATGTTATTGTTTATGGAAGCATTAAAATAAATTAGGTAAATTATTGCCATAATAGCTAAATTATCATTTGTAAAGACTGCTCAGATATTAAGATTCCACTTGAATTGATAAACAGAATTTAATACTGAAGTATTAAATACTGCTACTTTCATTTTATTGCCTAAGGAATATGGCATTCATTTAATTATATCATAAAAATGCTAGATTTAGTAATTAATTTGTGGAAGTACCTAAAACAAGTGGTAATAAAAATTGTCATAAATGTAAAAGTTGTAACATATTGAGACAAAGATTAATGAGCATTCAATAAATTGGTAGTAAGAAGTGACACATTGAGTATAAGAACATTTTAAAATTGATTTTATGAGGACACAAATTAACTGAATCACTGAGAGTTAAAAAAAAAAATAGTGCAGATTCCATGATCATTAGACTTGCTACTCTTTTTTAAATAAGCAAGACTGAATGAAAAGTGCTAGACTTAATACCCCAAGAAATTTCCTGTGTAACTAGGAGGCAAAGAATATTGTGATTAGAATGTATCCTTGTATAATAAATTGCCATTGTCAAAATATAGCTGGAAACAAACATTATTCTGAAGATTATGAAAGTAGTATATTTTCCATGCAGTTTAGTGCATGTGATCAGTTTGTCAGCAGGATTTAAGCATCAGATTTTTCATATTGCAGTGCAGCATTGACAGTTACATTCCTCCATTGTCTAATAGAAAATGGTATATTGGATTCACTTTCTTGACTTTGTTTTGTAGCTTTCAATAAGCAGCTGTTTGTATGCATTAAATTAAATGAAAAACAAGTTACTGTTTTAAGGTTAAATTTGCAGCACGCTAAGATTATATGTGCTATATATATCAAATAAGTGTTTCATATGCAAAAAGTAAGAGGAGCAGTAAGTTACCAGGGACTATTATAAGGACACTAATCCAGTTGGGGCCCCACTCTCATGACTTCAGCTCATTCTAATTACCTCCCAAAGACCGCTTCTATTGGAGTCTAGTATATCAACGTATGCCTTTGGTGGGGACACATTTTAGTTTCTCAACTTGGGCTTTTCTTGTGATCATTTGGGGAAAAACAGAGTGATATTGGCACATCACTCCTAGTTAGGCAGCTAGCACATCAGACAGCTTGTATTCAAATCCTCAGCCTCCATATTTTAGATTTCTCATTTGGGGAAAATTACTTAACATCTCTGTGTCCCATTTTTCACACTTGTAAAATGCGGAAAAAAATCAATATGTCAAGGGTTGTGAGTATTAAATCTAATGAGTTAATAATATATGTCAAATCATGATGGCAGTGCCTGGCAAGTTGTAAGTGATATAGCTGTTTACAATGATTGTTTTAATAAGAAGGAAGTGAGTGTGTTCTTTGGGCTGTTTGAATGTATTGTTGGTGATCAATAGAAAAGTGCCACGTTTTGGAGCACAGTCAGTGTCTTCCCCCGCTGCTCTAAGACTAGATTCTTCCCACAAGGTAGAAACTTCTGGTGCTATTGGCAGCCTCGGTTCTGTGTTGTCCCCACAAATGCTTAAGGCAGCTAATGTGAAGCCTGCTGTGGTTGCCTACAGCATGCTGAGACCATGCTCCTGTTTAGGGTTTTAGGCTGAGTCACTCCATGGGAAACATTTCCATTGATATGTGGGAGAGCCGTATAATTTTCTTTCCCACTCTTTATATAAAGTCATCCAAACTGTTGTTACGAGATAGAGAGCTCTCGCTCCTGCCGTGTAGAGAATTGAGCTTATCACATTATTAGTTTGCCAGGGCTTCCTGCTGTGGTTTCACGGCATAGCAAAGGGTTAAGATACTCCAGGTCTTTTCATGGATGACAATATTGTCTTTGTAAAATCTACACGCTGTTTCCAAGTGATTCATTATCTGCCCACATATTGTCACTTAGGTTTAGCTCTTTATTTGTTATATATAAAGTGTGTTATATAGCATGCCAATTATTTTTGAAAAATACTGTGTTATTACGGTGGGAGCACTTCCAAATTTTCATAAATTTTATGCTCTTTATAGCAGCTGGCATTGTGGAGGGGTGCAGAATTATGACGAACG